CCACAGAGAGTCAGGATCTCGGTTTTACATCTCATCCAAAGGATGGCGCCTGTTTACAGTATAGTATCTCCATCACTATACTGGGGCATTAGAACCCACACAGACCACAGGGTGAGCGCCCCCTGCTGGTCCCACTAACACCTCTTCCAGCAGCAACGTTGGCTTTCCCAGGAGTCTCCCATCCAGGTACTGACCAGGCTCACACCTGCTGAGCTCCAGTGGATTGTCAGTTGTGCGTTGCAGGGTGATATAGCTGCTGGAAATGGCGTACCATAGAAAGTCAAAGGCCTGTTTCAAATTGTGCCTCTTCAAACACACTATCGACAAGAACAGCATGCAAGACATCGCTCAGTCTTATTCTGTTGCGAATCCTATATTCTCCCTTGATTACCCTACAGGGCTGTAAGGAAAGTGTGCTAAAAACTGCGTACAGATGACATTTGGCTACACAAAGGGTGGTGGGGGTCTGGAGCAAGCTACTGGGAGGTGTTGTGGGAGCAGATGCCCTGTGATCTTTTTTTTTAGATCCTTCGATCGTGAGCTATTGGCAACGAAATACACCTGTTTGTAATCTATCACGAGCCTGTAATTATGACATTCAGCACCTGTGTGTACTGTTAAGAAGGAGACACTGGGGGAAATGCCTTTAATACTGAGAAAAGGAGATACGCATATACACAAAGGGTTGTGGGAGTGTGGAGCAGGTCACCCAGCCATGTTCTAGGAGATCATACTTTGTTTTTTCTTTCAAAAGAAAGGACCATCCAGGCAGGGCTGGAGTCTGATCTTGACACACAGGGTGGTGGGAGTGTGGAACAAGCTGCTCAAGTGTGTTGTAAAAGCCAATACTCTTGGGCTCCTTCAAGAGACAGCTGCACGAAGTAATTGGTTCGATTAGCTGCTAAAACCCAGATGAGATGGTGGGCTGGATGGCCACCTCTGATCTTTAATTATTCTCAAGTGCTTTGAAACACCTGGCTTTCGAACTGTAGGGCAAGCTGACTTGAAACCCAACATAGAGCTCCACCAGCTAAAATGCTGAATTCATTCTGCTTGAATAAATATTCACTAATGATTAAAACATTCGGGATATTTGGTTGCAGCTAATTAACTAGCAAACCTGACCTCTGAATCAGTCCAGGGCACCCCCAGTTTTTTGATTCCTTCACATTTTTGTATTCCCTAGTTAGCTGAGCCTGTGTATTTGTAATCTGGCCCAGACACAGGCAAACTATGTAACAAAGACACAGAGGCAACAGTACAAAGTAAATGTTAAATGGTGAGTTAGATGTGCCCCCGAGGCAGGGAGAGCAGAGTCATCTTTAATTCAGTTCACGCACACAGCCATGGGGGAAAATATCATAGGATGAGTTTCAGAGAGAAGACAGGCAGAGGTGTTTGTGGAAGCGTTTCACCACCTCTGTCCCTGTAGAGACCTGTCTGGGCCAGAGTAGCATAACAGGAGAGCCATAAGCACTGCCTGGGTCGGTTTCGTGTAATTTCTATCTGACCCTCTGAGCCATCTAGAAGTCATTTAGAGCAGGGCTCCCCAATTCTGGTCCTGGAAGAGGGGCTGTGTCTACAGCAGGGGTCCCCAATTCTGGTCCTGGAGGGGGCACTGTGTCTACAGCAAGGGTCCCCAATTCTGAACCTGGAGGGGGCACTGTGTCTACAGCAGGGGTCCCCAATCCCGATCCTATATGGGGCGCTGTGTCTATAACAGGGATCCCCAATTCTGGTCCTGGAAGAGGCGCTGTGCCTACAGCAGGGGTCCCCAGTTCTGGTCCTTGAGGGGCGCTGTGTCTACAGCAGGGGTCCCCAATCCTGATCCTGTAGGGGGCGCTGTGTCTACTTAATACCTACATTACTTTGATCTGCTTGACTTGTTTTCAGCTCAGAATTGGAAGAAGAGGTTAGAAAATGGATGGATGGTTATTAACGGCCCAGGTTTGTAAAGTATACTTACATGTTACAAACTTCTGACATATTAAATTCAATTTTGAAGTTTCATATTATGTATTACATAAGTTCTCTGAATTTCAAGTGTCCCCTGTGCCTGTAACACCACAGTGCCTGTCACACACTTTTCATTAGTAGTACACGACACGCACTTTAAGGGGTGGCTGAAGTGATTACTCAGCACAGTTGACATTAAGCATGCTCTCGAAAGGGTCAAGGGTCAAGATTGACCTCGATGGGCTCGCTTTGGCGGACGAAATTCCAGCTTGTCTTTTAATTCGGGCTTGTGGGTAAAAGAGACAGAGGAGGGAGGGCAGTCTTTTAGCGTCACACTCTTTTGTTGGTGAGAACAGATGTTGATTCAATGGAAGTAGGGCAGTTCTTCAGGCTAGGCTGAATCCAGACCTCCTCTCCTGGGAGAGTGAGGTGGAGACTCGTCACAGAAGTGTTTCCTGACTTGGCCTTGAATTTGGTCGCTCCTCGGGGCCGGAGGAACCTGTTCGTTTTCTGACGTTTCTGTCCCATCACCCCCAGCTCCTCCCCCATCCAGTATGGAGTCCAGTAATTGTGTAACTGGGAATTGAAAACTACAGAACCGGGTCAGTCCTGTGCCAGTTTCTTTCTTACCTCTCCCATGTGATTTATTCCTGTTAACGGATCCGCTCCATGGCTTGGAGTGCTGGGATTTGTACCCTTCCACAGGGAGGCGAGACGTCAGCGTACAGTGCAGTGAAGGTTTGAAATGCATGTATCTGCTACAAGAGAGTCTGTTTTCAGAGAGAACAGCAGGGGACACCCTAAAGTAATAACAAAATAATATATATATATAATATATATATTTCACCTCCAAATGTAGCAGGACATACTGTACATGTCCGGCCGCCTTTGAAAATCACAAAGTCAGCCAAACCGACCCCAGTCAGAGTCAAACAGCTGCTCTGCCCGCCCGAAGTCTATGGCCTTCACCTGGGATGTGTTGCTTAAATCAGTCAGCTGGGATAAATTCTTAAGGTTTGGCAGACACACGCGCTGCACTGCAGATACAGAGCTCCTCTTCGAGAGCCAGCATTTAAAATGCCCTTCAGTACCAGGAGCCAAGAGGCTCCCACACACTTAGAAGATCAGGCTGCACCTCGTCGAAGCGGTTGAGTCATTTGATTCTGGAAAAAGTGGACTATACCGTTATTAGAAAATAGTTAGACAGTAATCTGGATAAAAGCAACGTTCATGCTAAATACATGCTCCTGTGCAAATATTCACAGTCATTAAAGATCAATAACATGATATGGCATCATTTGGGACAAGGTTTGCTAGGAATTAATATTGTCTAGAGCAAATGATGATT